TTTCAACAAGTTAGCCCCAGGGACTTCGGTAACAGCACGATGTGTGATGTGTGGGTTAGGCGACGCCACAAGTTCGAATCTTGGCACAAACGTTTGCCTGTTATCAAGTGGGGAAGGACCTAAGGAAAAAATTCGAAAGTATGTTGTCATAAGGTCCCTTTCCCCCCCAAAGGCAAGAGTTCAATTATCTTTTATTTTTATTGTCAAGTTCTTCATAAGTGAAGAAGTACACTACTTAGAGCTATTTCAGAAACAACGGGAGAATCAAATAGCACTGAATCAACTTGAAGCGGAAATTTATTGCAAACCTGCCTGTGTTAAAGTTGTTGCGTCCGCAATTACAAAAGGAACATTGATGAGACGAGCAAGTGTCTTGGCAAGTAATGTTTTCCCTGTCCTTTCATTCACAGAAAACACAAGTTAGAACGCAACGGCCAATTAAGTCTATTGAAACTAAGATTCTTATAGATAGTTTCTTCTAATAAGGCAATAATTTGTTAATAATAAGAAAATTTTCCATAAACTAGTACTAAATTCAAAGTAAAGAATGTAAAACATAATATGGTTCTCCACATACTGTCACCCAATCTTTTATACAAAATTAAACTTCATTGGTGCACCAAAAAGAAACTAGGAATGAAGGGCTAATTCCTCATTCCTCAAACTAGAAATCAGATATCATACCTGAGCCAGTGGGGCCCATCAGCAAAACATTGCTCTTCTCTAATTCGACCGAATCATTATCAATATTTTCCAGCTCATCTCTAACTTTACGAGAATCTGACCTGACATTAACATCGTACTATCAGTTATTGATGGATCCTAGTAGCCTCTGGTACTATCAGTGACCAAAACAATTAAATCTACAGAGCATGTTCTCCCAAAACACACTACTTCTGTTTGCTTTCAATTTTTCTTCTTATGATTACAGTTTCTGTAATAAGTAAAGCAAAACTTATGCACAAGTGAATAGCCAAGGACTAAGCTAGTGCTGGACGTTAAAAAGGAGGATCACAGCACAAAATCAGATCTGCCTGTAAGTGGAGGAAGCATATCCTATTCGCATGACACTTCTTCTTTGTTAAAAGATTTCATTTCTTCCTCCCTTTGTACTTCCTTATTAGATAATTCTCGTCTTTTTCCTAAAGATGTAAAACAAAAAACTCCTTATGCTCATTCGTGATCAAATAAATCTGGTCATAGTCCAATCTGGCTGCCTCTGAAAGTGTTTAATGTATTAATGTTCATCTTCTACAAGTTGTTACCAAGTCCATTTACTTTTCATGAACAATCGAAGGATTTATTCAAATTTAAATAGCATCAAGAGCGGTTTCTGGTCACAAGATTGGAGTATCTAAGGAGAAATCAAAATAACTCCTGACATTGTTTGAGACAACCGCTAAATAAGTAGAATAAACAAGTTTTAGATGGGATGGCCTATCAAAGGATCAAACTTTCCACTGAGGGGAGACATCTTCACTAGTACACATGTTAGCGAGATGATATGTCATTCATACATTTACTCACTTTTTATTCAAAGAGGAGTGGTATATTCGTTTATAATGGTTGTAAACTGCAACAGAAAGCACCTGCAAAATGTAGAATATCATGTCAGTAAGACCAAAGTTGAATACCCCTGCAGAAACAGAGACTTGCTAACCTTCTTGGCTCTCTCTTGCCCAACAACAAACTGATCAAGCCCTTTACATATCTCCTTTGGTGTAAGCAACTCTATCCCCAAATCAGTACCTCCCCACCCTTCTTCCTTTCTCGCCTCCGAATCCTTCATTTCAGTTTCACAACTACCCTGTCCACCATCATCACTGCCATTGGTCCCACTATAAGACCTCAACTTTTCCCAAATCTTGCCATCATTCTTCCCAGAACTCCCAGCCATTTCATCTTCACTCTCCTTTTCACCTCCCTTAACCCTCCCAATCTCAATGAAAGTCCCTTGCAAAGGCTCCAATTTAAACGGTCTAAAGTAAAACGCTGTCCGGCAATGAGGACACAAATTCACCGCCTGGTAAATTCCAGTCTCCCCGGCGGTGATCGACAACGGCCTGTTAGAGAATAGCACTGTCATCATCTTCGAACAGCGTGGGCAGTTCACCTCTGATTTTATGTGATCGTAGTTGTCGGAACTTCCCTCCCATTTATGCCTAAACCCTAACCCTAGTCTAGAATCCTCGAATCTAAACACTAGCCCTACTCTAGAACCTTCAAATGGGTTGAAGAGGAGCGAGAGTTTTCTTCTAGGTTTGAGAGAAGAGGAAGAAGTAGAGGAATGAAATTTGGAAGACGATATGGAAAAAAGAGATGTTCTGAAGGTAAAAGTGTGGAGCTTTGATTTGTATCTGAATATGGCAGACATTTGTTAAGCCTTCTTCTTCTTCTATGGTTCTTCTGAGCTCACTCACGAGCATTTCAATGGAGGTTTCGCGGCGGACAGTGAATTGATGCGGCGGAGTTGTGGAAGAAAATGGGTCACCCAATACCCGCCCCGAGTCTCGAGTGTTGGCCCAATAGGCCTTTTTGTTGTGTTTTTCGAACCATCAGCGTTAAAATAGAACTTAAATGGGCTTTATTTAGCCCAATTCCCTAAATTGCTTTGTACTTTGGAGCTTATGAAAGAAAAAAATAAAATTCTAACATATAGGAAAATTATATAGAATAACCAACATTTTGCCTATATTAGATTCTACATCTATAATTTAAGAAAGGGTAATGCTAAATGACAAGAAAATTTGGTAGAAATTTTTAAAATCTATAATATCTTTTTTAGTTTAAAATAAACTAATCTTTTTTTAATTTTTTTAGTTAAAATGTATTAAAGTTAAAAAGGTAAAAATGTTCAAAAAGGTAAAATAACATATGAAAAATACCATCTTGGCCAACTTTTCTGGCCAAAAGGTTTTTCCTTTAAGAAAATTGTAATCCGTGGCTACAGTTACTCCAATACTTGCTATTCGCATGATTTGTATAATTCAGTTCATGATCGTATAAATCCAAAATTTGTATATGTTTTCTCTGGATATTTGTAAACGATTTATGAAAATTCACAATAAATCACCCTTTTTGTATATTGACAAGTGAAATATACAAACGGAGTTCTGGAAAATTCCTAAATGTATAAATAAAGAATTTGTATATACTTACCATATTTGTATATTCGCAAGCGAAATATACAAACGGCCAAAAATATACAAACTGCAGCCTCCATAGCAAACAGAACTATCAATATAAAGCGCAATAATCAAAACTATAGTTATACAGCCTTACTATGTCTATTATGTTTGTTATTTCTAAAATCTTATCTAACTTTATTATACCAATAAATAGTAGAATTTTTTTGTAAAAAATACAGTCCAATGCATTGGACTTTGGACCAGTTAATTTACAAAATTTGTACACAATGTCTAAATAGTATATATATACATATATATTATACAAAAAAATTACATACATATATGAAGTTTTTGTGAGTGTAAGTGAAATTTCTCATAAATTTTCAAAATATGATATAACTTTCATGATCAAACAAATATCTGAAGATAAATTTTCAGGATCTGATATAAAATATATGGTCAAACGCTAGCTTAAACTCCATTTGAATTTGTAATTCCTCTTTGTCTACTTTACTATTTGAGATGGTGTAATCCCTCCACTTGCCCCTCCTTTATTCTTTCTCTACTACTACACTTGAGGAACAAACTTTTTTTTTCTTTCATCAAAAGGCATAGAAATAGTTGATTGGTCTAAACATGAAGAGTGTTTGAAAATTAAAGTTAAAACCAATTTGGTAATTTCTAGAGTAATGGACCACAAAGAATTAATAAGGTAATGCCAAGAATGCAATGTGATATGTGGTCACATAAGTCTCTTATAACTATAGCTGGAAATCACATATTTGATTTCAGTTGTAATTATATTTTTAATGTTCATGGTCCATATTTGTACTTTTTTCTGTTTTAAGTCTGGCCTTGGCAACATAGTTGTTTGTCTATCTGAGACTTTAAAGCCCTTTACATGGCGTGGTCATGGAAAGTCTAAAAACAGAACAATTTGTAGCTAGAGAGTTCAAATTTATTTCACCATAGGTTTGGGAGAAGTGAATAATTCATAGTCTTGTTTTATATGTTGTTTTGATAGAAGCGAAGTCAAAATTTGAAGTTTATGATTTAAAATTCAAATTTTTTTTTATAAGTTACTGAAAAATAAAATCAGATAAACTTTAAGATCAATTTCGGTTTCTTTGTTATTTATTTTAGAACATTGGATTGTTATTTCTCTTGAAAAAATGACATTAGTACTTATTGATCCTCAATAAAAAATGGATTTAGAACAGAATGGGGTTGTTTGGTATGTTTGACAAATATATATAGTCTTATGATAAAAATTAATTACTGATTTATTTCTCGTTTTATTATTAATTTTAGGATAAGTTATCTTTGCACAAAGTAGAATAATAATAAGGGAATGAGTTATTGAGACAAAAATATCCTCGAGGTCCTTCAGTATTTTTTTCTCCTTAATAAGGTAAAAAAATATTTTTATAAACGAACAACTTCTTTTTAAATAACTAATTTTATCATAACCTAGCTTCAAATCAAACCGTGTAACACCAAACAAATAGATAGTACTCATTAATCTTTAAGATCAATTTCTGTTTCTTTTTGGGGGGTCCGGTTAATTCCTATTTTTGGGGGGATTGGTTCAACACAAGTGTCATCCGTACAAACAAAAAAAACTCCTTTGGTAGTTTACTAGTATAGAGTAGTTTATACAAATGTCTAGGGAGCAATGCAAATATAGTAGTATATATTTATAGTTGACTCGTAAATTAGTCATCCCAATAAAAAAAGTGTACAATCAAATAAGACAAATATAAATCCAGTCAGCACTGGAGAGATGAGATTAATTAGTTAATTAATTAAACAAAATCCAAAACAACCATAAGAAATTCCAAAATTCCCCACATGCACTAGTACTAGTACTACACTAGATATTATTTAAAAAAAGCAAATTAAAGTAAGATAAAAATCATCAAACTTGATTTTCATTAGGAATACTAACATTTTTCTTGGCAAGGCTATGCTTATTGTTATGCATCCAAACTTTAAGCACTCTTCTTTTAACTCCAACTTCTTGACAGAATTGTTGCACAACACCTTCTTCTTGTTTTTGTATTTTCCATCCAACTTTTTCAGCAAAATTGAGCATTTTATCCTTTTGTTCTTGAGTAAATTTAGTCCTAAATCTCTTTTTGACATGATGTAATGGTCTAGCCATAGCCATAATTCCACCAATATGATGATGATCTTGATCATGTTCTTCTGATTCAGAATTAGGAAGTGAGCCCATGTTATATGACATTATCATTTGATGATGTGGTGGTATTATTGGTCTAGTTGGAATTATTGTACCAAATGGTTCAGGACCTAAACTAGTTTTGTGTCCTAAATAAACTTTTTTTGTTGATCCTCCTCTGTTGTTCAGATGATGGAAGCAATCACAAGAAGAAGGTAATTGAAGTTGTTGATCACCTTCTATTTCTTTTCTATGAAAATTTCTATGGCAATTGCAAGCTGAACAAATCAGAGCTTCAATTGTACCTTCTTCACCACTTGGCATGAATTCTCCACATCCATCTGTTGCATTACCACCCATAGATGCTGCATGGTTCTTTAGGCACTCTTTGTACCTGTCCAAATAGTACACAATTAATTAATTAATTTCGTTAACAGTATTTAATTTGTATTTATAAAAAACAACATTGTATTATACAAATTAAATGTGTTTTATTAAAAAGAACTAGTCCAAACACCCTTCGGTCTACGTTATGGCTTAGTTGAGAAGGGGAAGAGGTTTAATTTCATACCAAGTAAAAGAAAGTTCTAAAGTGTTTTAGCTTGTTAAAAAATAATTAATTTGAACACCATGTGACGATTAAGGAGAGGTAACATATAATTAAAAGAATTTAACAGTACCTGATAATTTTCTTGAAAGGTACATGATGATCTGCTGCAGTTGCTACTGGTGGTGCATCAATAGGAGGACCATTCATAGAAGGTGGTGGAATAATGTGATTGGTATTGTGGGGTGGTGTAGGATCATGATGTATCATGTGTCCATATGTGCTGTTAATTGGTATTGGCATATCCTCATGATCTTGACTTGGAAGTTCCATATCTAACCTCTTTCAAGAAATTTTTTGTACTTATGTGGAGACCAAAAGGGACAAGATAGGAAATTATTAAAATTAGTACAAGCTATATAGACTATAATGATTAAAATTGAAACTAGTGGCTGACTTCAACTACTAAAGATAAGTAGGAAAACAAATTAAAAAAACCTAGGGGATCTTCACAAATTTTGTCCACTCTTTTTGAAACAACTAGGAATTAATACATTATTGACCCTCTCATGAATTAATTTCTCACCAATTCATTATGGGAATGTAGAACAATTAAATTTTGAAGTACTATTAGAATCATTGTTAAAATTTGAGTTCTTGAAAGTGAAGGAGAAAAGGGTCAAAACACTTGCAAAAAGACCAGTAGAGATCAAGAAGAATAGTGAAGGTGAAAATTAAAGAGAGATTCTTTAAGATTTCAAAAGCAAGAGACAAAACTACAAAAATGATCAAGATTGTTTTTGTTTCTTTTATGGAGTTAATTTTGGGGATAATATAAATGAAAGAGATGATGAAGAAGATGAGATAGACAAAAATAAACAAAGGAATGAAGTGAAGAGAGACAAAGGGGAAAGAAAGAGTGTTTTTGTTGTGGTTTTTGCTAGTGAGTGAAGCACTTAACATGAGCTTATAGAAGTAGTGAGGACCCAAAAAAGAGTTGGAGAGAGATAGGAGGAGAGAGGAAAAAAAACATTTTTATTTATTTAATGAGTTTGATTTTAATATCCCTTTTTGTATTTACAAAATTAGATTATTTATAAATAAACATAGTAATTAATTAAACTATATTATAATTACGTATGAGAATGTACCATTGTTGAATAATTTTGATTAAATTCTGTATTTATTTTAAAAGATTCATTTTATATACATAAATTATAAATTTAGACACTAAAAACTTCAAAAGAGTCCGAATTCAGAATTTATAAACTTCAAACTTTTGATGTGTCTATGCTAATTTATCACTCAGTATATTTTATTTTTAGATGGTCACTATTAAGCCATCTTTTAAAATATATATATAAGTAGATGAAAATAGTATGAAGTTTATTTTTTCTTTTCATTTTGTTTATTTTATGGAGAAAAATAATTTTTGGAAATTAAGGAAAAGAAAAAAAAAAGTGGGGTGCTTGCTTAGCTTGCACTATCAGGCACCAATATTACGCCATATAGAGAGTGCAGTGTGTCAGAGAGAGTGAGGAGGATAAAGAGAGAGACATACAGAGAATCCAATAAAGACTTTCTTAACACAAAAAGGAAAATAAGTTAATTCTTAGTACATAAATATATAAACTCTCTTACAAGCAATCTTTTTTTTTTCTTTTGGTTGAAAATTTTAAAAAAATGTTTGAAAATAGAATAAGATGAATATTGGTGAAAAATGCACATAAATCTAAACTGCTAGATTAAGGCAAGCAAGAATGTGATGGTGTTCCATATGGAGTATGACTTTTACCTTGGGGTGAATTTTCAAAAAGCCAAAGTAACTCATCACAAATTCACAAGTCCTTTTCTTCGTTTAAATCTATCTGACACGTTTTGAATTTGAATAATCAAATTTAAAGATTTCATATCAAGCTAAGATAACTTACGACTAACTTATAGCCACACGTTAAGTTATATATTAATATTATTTTCAAATTCTTTACGTTGTTAATGCATACAATAACTTAAATTCATTAGTTAAGAATGAACTTATCTAATATATGCCGAGAAAATAAAGTAATATTCTACAACCATATTACTTGAAAGTTAGTTATTAATAAATTGCAAATGACAAACATGCTTTGTGACCTACACAACATAATAAATGATATATTAATTATAGTAGGTGAAAAATAAATGGATAGTGTAATTTCTTTTATATTACTATTAGTGTATATTTAATTGATAAGATGTTGATAAGATAGTACTCCCTCCGTCTTATATTAATTGATCATCTTATTAAAATTAGTTATTCACCTTATTAAATTAAGAAGTTTTTCTTGTATTACTCTTACAATTAATTCTTTTTAAAAATATTCATATTTATTTATAAAAACTTCAAAAAGTCTTTTAAGAGGTATATTAATAAAATTATATTATTATTTATAATTTCTTAATAGCGTGTGAAAAGGGGAAATAATATGATGGTGGGAGTAGTAATAGCTAGCAAAGCAAATGCAAGAAATTAATTAGACATATAAGCAACAAAGCTTTTATGTGGCTCATTACACCACTCGTGATTTATTAATTACATTTTGTATTAATGTAAAACTACTCTCTTAAAGACTAACTTTGACCAAAATATCCACTCATGCATGCAACTCATGTGAATCTTAATGACATTAACACCCTATTATTAAAGTATATTCAATATTTATTTTATTTTCTCTTAAAAAAGAGTATCTATTGTTCCATCTGTATCAATTAATTTGTCTGATTTTAATTCGACATGAAATTTAAAAAGTAAAAAAAATTATTTTTAATTTTATACTATTAAATTAAAAATATGTGGAATATTAGAATGGTAAAAGTCACACATTGTTTGAGAATAGACGGGTGATTTAGTTTATATGAATTTGATTAATCCTCCGCTAAAAGAAATTAAAAGCATAAGAAAAAAATAAATCACTTAAATATACAATTATATATTATATAAATAAATCACTTAAATTAACCGTGAAAAGCAAATCAACTTTTCAACGTAATTAGTATAAGAAAAAACCCATCATTTCATACATAGGGAAATTAATTTTTCTTGTTTGTTTTATTTTCGGGCAATGATTCTTGTATTATTGAGACTTAAAATATAATGCAGAAACAAGAGAAAAGAAATTGGCGTGCATTTTATTTATTTAATAAATTAATTAATTTAAGCCCATTACTACAAAAAGTAAATTGCCAAAAGACTTCATAAAATTAATGTTCCATTTAATGTTTATTCTGTGCTGTTTGGAGTTCTATTTTCTTTATTATTATTTGTTTGAAAAAATAACGGCAAACCTGCCCTGAAATAGCAAAGTACAAAATAAAGAATTTTGGTAGGCTCAACTAGCCAATTTTTTTATTTTTAAAAAATATATAATATATTCCTCAAATTATTATTTAAAAGCTCATTAAATTTTTTATTAAATCGGCGGAGACAAAGTGATGGACTTTTTTTCGATTTTCCATTTTGAGTATGATGTTAAGTTAAAAATAAAAAAACTTTTACCAAAAATGGTTTAATTCCTAGAGTTTTGAATCTAAAAATTATACTTATAAACTATTTGGCTAAGATTTAGAAAAGTCAAAACTACTTATTTTTAAAAAGTGAAATGTTTTATCAACTTTTTGAGAAAAAACTTAGGTTTAGTATAAATTGTTTTGCAAAGTTTTAACATGTATTCTTTTGAAGAGAAAAAAAGACTTAAAAACACTTTAAAGAAGTTTTATCAAACATTAAAAGTTTGGTATTGTTCAAAAATATATTTGTTAAATTTATAGTCAAATACAAAATATTTCTCGCCAAAAATGCTTCTCCAAAAACGCATTTTAAAAAAAAATTAATTTTAAAAGTTTGATCAAATAAATTATTAGTTTTAGAATTCTTTGAAGTTTTCCTTTTCTGTTTTTTTTTTCCTTCAAAAGGCCAAATTGCCTTGAACAATAATTTGTCGGAAATTTCCTATTTAGCAATAACTAATTGATAAAGGTAATTGATTTTAATCAAAGTGATAGACACGGTATAATTAGGTGTTTAGCTGAAAATAGATGACATGGTTAGTGGGGTTAATTTCTTTTTACTTCAGACATTCTATTATCGGCACTAAATCATCACTCTTTTTTTATACTTTATTGTAACAAAAAATAAAAATAAATAATGACCTTATTATACTAGAAGTTTATATATATATTGAAAAACAAAGCAATTACTTTGCTACAAAAGTTAAAAATACACTAATATTAAAAAAAATAAAAAATTGTACACAATGAGTACTGTAATAATAGTACCTTTGTCCCAATTTATATACTCTCTCCTCCTCTCCATTTTTTACTTTGCATTCTAAAAATTATTATGAACAAAAGGATAATTTAACTATTTTTTTCTTCTTTTTGGAGTAGTTTTTTTTTTTTTTTCAATTTAATGCTTCTTTCTTTTACACTATATTAATTTTATTTTTTTATATTTATAACTAAGAAAAAGGGTGAAACCGTAAAAGCAAACAACTTATATTTTTAATTATTTAAAATGATAACTATTTTTGACCATCTGTTCTTAATAAGGACAACGGTAATAATATGCTCTTGTTTTTAACCAATTCAAAAAGATTAACACCTGCAAATATTTAATGACACTAACAAAATTTTATCTTTATTACTAATAAGTTATTAGATCTCACTTATTAGACAAATAGTCCACAAATATTACTTTGAAATGGCAATTTAGAATATTTTTTTAAAACTTCATATTCAGTCAAAGTATACTAAATAATTTTATAGGAAGAAAGTAATATAATAAATAATTAAATTGTATTATACGATGAGAGTAAAATGAAAAGAAAATAGTGAAAAAAGATAATGATGTGGTTGTGGAATATCAAAAGGACAACTGCATATTATTCAGAGTCCATCCATCAGTTTCTTCTTTCAAACACGCAATCTCAGACAATTGTACACTTAATTATAAAGTCTGAGTTCGTAAAACTAATCATCAATTTATTTTTAGTTTCATTTTCATTTGTTTTTTTGTTATGTTTTTATCAACAATCTTTGAAAAATAAATTTTCTATTCTTAAATAGTACTTCCTCTGTCCCAATTTACGTGACACTTTTTATTTTTCGAAAATCTTTAAGTTTGATCGGAAATTTGCGCATGAAATCTTTAATTTTTTAAAAATAAAATTTATATATTTGTAAACTACGTAAAAAGTACTATAAATCACAACAATTGATAATTCAAAATATCTATGAAAAATTTACGATCAAAGCTAGATTTGTTTGAATCTCGAAATTCGAAAAGTGTCACGTAAAATGAGACGGAGGGAGTAATAATATTCACGCACACAATATTTTTTTTCTTTCAAATTTCAGCTGTAAAATTACTATATG